GCCCACACCCTTTGTCCCACATAATTAGAATACCTCCACTCCTCCCATTAGACTCTAAACCTCCATAGTCTGCCCATCTATTGCTACACAAAGACCTAACCACCGCACCACGCTCCCCTTCCATCTTTGTTTCTTGAAAACAATAGATATCTGCTCTCCATTCTTGCATTAAAGATTTTATCACCCTCTATTTTCAAAGTCATTCAAACCCCTCACGTTCCATGAAATAATTTGTACCTTCATCAAGAACTGGTAGAGTTGTTTGTTCCCTTGCTCCTTGATCCACTTTCTTTGAATTTGATGTCAAATTGTAGATTCTTGACTTCATTCACCCCTTTTTGTTTTGGGTAGATGGGTTAGAGCCACTAGTTTCCTTTCGCTTCTCGTGCTTCTTCTTGTCCAATTTCATGAACAGAGACCAGGTCTAAGTCCACCCCAAACTGCTTGCTTAGCTTCATGACATTTCGGTGAACCCATAATGAAGCTTCTAACTCAGCCATCTGAATTTGAACATCTAGCGGTTGGACATCTTCAATTGGCCAGTGTTGAGATTGTTCCACTCGAATTAATTGTAGCCCAGAATTTTCTTGGTTTTCTATGCCCGTTCCCTCGATATTCGGCCCTGCATCATAGTAAGTTTCTTCGTTTCCTTCAGAAATTCGAAGAAGATTTTGACTCTGATAACTAACATGAGCATCTTCTTTTGCAACCTCCGCTGAATCCACCATTAATAAAGAGTCGCTTGACTGAGAAGCTTGGTTAGCTTCGATCTCAACGAGGAAAGAATCCACTATATTCAGTGGTCTGGGCTCTAGAGGAGTGAAAGAGCACAAAATTTGGTCTGGCCCAATTTCCTGCCTTTGGGCCCGGCCCAAATCCGATTCTTTAGCCCCAAGAGACGGTCCATTTAAAACTAAATCCTCCACGTGCTCAGCATGCCCTAGCAACAATCCGAATTTGGAATTAGATGACTCCCCTTGTTCTCCCCCATAACCAGCCATTACAAGACTCGGCTTTTGTGGGTTACTCAAAAATAATTCTGGCCCAATTCCTTTCTGCAATATAAATGGCCTTTGAACCAAGCCCAAACATGAGTCTTTGGCCCCAGAGTTTGTTCCAGCAACAGGAGCCTCCACGTGCTCTGCATGCCCCTTTAGCTGTCCAATTTTAAAGTGTGACACTTCCCCATGCTCTCCCACGCGACCAGCCACCCTAGCCCCTATATCTTCTGCCACCAGATGTGACTGTACACAGACCATAGCCCTAGAATCCCTTTCCTCAGTAATCCTCCGATCAACAGTCACCATCGGAGTAGATTCACACCAAATTGGCATGGAGAAAACCAGACCGTCGTTTTCCACTTCAATGCATTTGGGAATTTTGTCAATTGGCCCTCTTACTCTGATTCTTGGCCAGTTCAGATGGTTTCTGAGATGCCTTTTCTTCTGTTTCTACCCATCCGCCGCATTTCATCCTTATCTCCTCCATGACCTCTTTTGACCATAAATGTAAAGGTAAGCCGATAACCCTAATCCAAAGAGGCTCACTAACGAGACCTGCCGGAGAGCAGCTGGCCTCCGGCGACCACTAAATCAGTTTGATGGGTTCTTGTTTCCGTCTCCACACCCCAAGCATAACTTGTTCTGCCATCTTCTTGTTGGGAAATTCAAAAAGAAACTGTTGCTCGTTTAGGTCATAAATCTGGACGCCGCAAGGTAACTTCCATCTATCTGCGGCCCATCTTCTTAGCTCCGACCTAGTTGGAACTTCTGTCTTCCCAGCAAAGGATCCAACCAAACATCTGCTGAGAGTGTCATTATCTGTTAAAGCAACAGATCTAGGGACGCTGATACGCTGACTTTGATGTACGAAAGTGAGATTCCCCTGCTTAGGTTGCCATTTGCTCTGGTTAGTTGCTGCTGCATATGTGATCTCCTGGGTTTGAGGATTCTGCACAGCAACGTTGACTGGGTTTTCGAGGATAAACTTCTCAATTTTTTGCATCTATGCCTCCCCACCCTTTGTTAGGAGACAGTTCAGGAATTATAATGACTGATCTCCTCTCCCCTGCCACAATACTTATGAATCTACTGTATCTGTTGTACTTTTGAGAATAGTAGTAGTTATGTAGAATTGTAGATGATCAGTTAATTTCCAAGTATTGTATTTATTACCTCTGGATGCAGATGTCATGTGCATTAAATCGTAAATCCACAGCATTGCCTTCCTACTAACTGTCATTCTACGCATTGAATTCCTTCTCCTTTCAACCCAATCGTACCACCTTTCGGAACTAGAGAAGTCAGAAATATCAAAAAATTTGTCCCCAGATGTGAAAAAAATCTTTTTAGCACTGTTACCATAATCACGAACCATGTTTTAATCAAGTTAGAATAGATTCAAGAAAAAACTCAGTTCCTCCAGTGATCTCCGATGATCAGAAAGCTTCCTAACAGCTTATTCGTACTTTACCTCGAAAGTCGTGCCTGAGAGCATTCTCATTTTTAACGTCCTTAAGATTATAGCACTGAAATTGTATGCAGGTTTAGATTGAGATATGTAAATTCATCAATGGTCAAGAATCTAATCGTGTTTAAGATTTGAACTAAATTTCAGAATAGCGGATGCTTGTCAGTCATTCATGTTTTCCTAGTAAGTTATTAACTCATATTGGGTTTACATTCTCTAAAATTTGGTCAACTCCCCTTTATGGTTGGTTATCTTTGTTTAACATTAAGATGGTTGGTTGAAGTTATTCAATGGGTTATTGCAAAATATTCCAGAATCCGTGGTGTAGCATTTACTGTTTAGTGATGGACGCATAGAAGCCCGGGGTAAGTAGAAAAATTATATAATCTTCACCTAGTGGAGAAAAATGTAAAACAAAAAGAAAGAGATACAGAAAAAAGAAATTTTAGTCTTATGTAGAGCTTTGGGAGTCAGTTTGATACAGCACTCTTATAGTTTCTTGATCTTTGGCTTTCCGTGATGCTTAGTGCTGCTATAGCCTTCTTAACATGGCCCAAAATTGGCAAAGGTTGGTTGGGGGCAGGGGAGGAGTATCTTTAATGTGCCAATGGCAAGCTATACCTTAGTAAGTTGTTTCACAGTGTTGATTTTCTTTTTATCTAGTTGCCAAGCAAAATATAAAAGAGCCACATGTGTTAGACTTGTTATTGTTTTCTTCTGATACGGTAAAACTTAGCCTCCCAAACCCCCAACCCAGGAGACCAAAAGTCCTTTCTCACTTTGTTTCCTTCGTGAGGCAAACCTCCAAGCTTGTGGTTGGAAGTGAGGGTCAGACCACTAGGCTAACAATGCGAACGCATACCTTCTTTATGTGTTCCCTACAGGGAAGTATCTAATATTGCAGAAGAGCATAACTTCAGCTGCACCCAATATTCGATGACAGCAAAATGACATGTATGATATCAACAAATCTGTTTATTTTTGATAAGTTTCTTTAGTCATTTCTTGGTAAACCACTTTTTAAACAGGTTTATCTGCAAACCTGTCCAAGAAGTGGAAACCTTCTTTTCTGGTTTGCTTCAAAATTGTCCTGATGTAGGAAGCGTGTTGTTTTCATGTAGTAAACGTGAGATTAATTGCTGTTGTGTAACTGGAAAGTCTGCGAGAGTATTGACTATTTGGAGCACAATAAACGAAGAAAAAGACAACAGGGGCTACGTAGATGGCTGATGAATATGGCATGTTTCTGAATGTAATGAGTAAACAAAAAAGTGGAACCTTTGTCACTCTTTTATTCTCATCAAGATTACGGGTCTCTTTTCTTCTTCCCTTATTCTTGCTCTTCCAGCTTCTTCCCGCTGCAGTTGCTGGAAAAGCACTGAATAAGGTAAGGAAGGATGGAGCTCCTGTTAGTTGTCTTTGCCCTGAGCGTGCTTCTTTTGATAAGATTTAGCTAACGTCTTTTGCCCCAATTGGCAGTTTGGTATGCTGAGTCTATTCCGTACTAGGGTTTCAAGCTTTTACCGTGACACATTAAGAGATTAGAATGGTTACATTACCATAATCCGAGTGTATTTTCCTGGAAATTCTTTGCAATTTGGACAGTCTACTGAAGTACAAATATTAAGAATTGTATTAAGGTTTATACATATTTAGCCCTATTAACTCCTGTATTTATTGCATTGCTTTTTAACAATACCTCAATTACTTTCTTAGCTCGATGAGAGTCGGTTTTCTGCGCTTAATGAAGAGAAACTAGAAGAGAAGACTATTAACATGACATGGTCGATTAGGAGTTAACTTTCGTAGTAGCGAAATAATAGAGGTGGCAAAAACATCGAAAACACATCAGACACCTACTTCTCACTCACATTAATTTTTTTGGATAGATAGTATATTTCTAATGCATCATAAAATAATGTTTTATTGAACCCATCCTAATGGGTGATTAGTTGGCTGGGTTGCTCTCCAATACAAGATACAGTTTTTTGCCATCTTTAGGAAGTAGTAGGAAGATGGTAGTAAGCGGTAACTGGTTGCCATCAGTTGTGAAGTAGCTCATGTAAGGATTAAGTTGCTACTGGTTTTTGAGTTTGTTTCATGGATACTTGTCAGTGTTGTCAAAGGTTCATTCAAGGCGCACTTAAGCCCTAAAGCTCAGAAAAGCTCAAGGAGGGTGCTTTGCCTCACTTAAGCTGCGGTTCGGCATTAGGCAAGGCACCAAGACATGCCCCTTATTGCCCATGAGTTCTATCTTAAATGGAGCAATACTAGACTACAAATATAACCGGCAAATAAGTGTATTAGTTGTTAAGGAAAACAATATGAATGAGTTTGTTACTTTTCTCTTGAATTACATGTATATTTTTAATTTTTTCTTGCATTGTGCCTTTTATAATTGCAGCCTACACTTAAATTGCGCTTTGCCCTTAAAGCCCAAATGGACCTAGAGCGCTTTTTAGAGCTTTGGCCTTTGACAACACTGATACTTGTGTTTGTTCTTATCCCCTTTAACGGTATTGATACTCACCATTTATATGATACTACTAGTATTGACATGATGCGAAATGGTACCTTCGGAATTTGCCTGGACAATTGTTTTGCTCCTAATATTACCATTTATATATGATATAATACTTTATCGGGGTACTTTATCGGGGTTTTTTTCTTGATAAGTAATACACATACTTATTACAGGGTCCATTTTATTCATAGTTTGATTGACTTAAGCATCAAGGAAAGGTTGTATTTTGGAAGATGGAATGATACTTTGACAGATAGGTTTCAGCCCTATTCCCTTTGATCCTGTAGCTAGTTGTTGGATTATTGCTGGTAATCCTTTTTATCTTTATTTAAAACACTTCCACTGGCTCTTGTAAGTGGTCTTTGTACTGTTCTCAACCAATCAAAATTGAGCGCATAGTTAAATGTAATATTACTGAAAAAAGGAAAATAAGTTTTCATCAGATAAACATTTCATTAACTTCAAAGAAATTGCCTCGTTGTACAGAGATAACAAATGTTATTGGTAAAGGACATTTATTTCCCTCTATACAGTTTGCTCATTTTGTAGTTTCATTTTTTTGTGGTGTTAAGAGGTACTGTGATATAATGAAGAGTGGATAGTGATGAAGCTTATTGCCTATAGGTTAAGATTTAGAAAGGGCTTTGCTTTCATGGGGGATGAGCATGGCTATCATGGTCCGATTTGGGAAGTTTTTAAGTTCACAATTGCATGTTTCAGGAATTTGGAATGAGGCATTTTCGATATGAATATGGTTGGTTATTTGTGAGAAAAATATTTGACAATGTGTTTGCATTTATTTGTTAAGGTTCTTCCTTCTTTGTGCTACTTCTATATTGAAGAACTCAAATAATGATTTTAATGTGATGTTCGCTCTATCTGCAGATGGAATGCACTTTTTGCCTGGCTTCTTATGTGAGTGTGCCTCTTTGTCCAAGTACCGGAGACAATATAAGATCCTTTCAATTGTATGTTTAGGTCATAATGTGCTGTTTTTCTCAAAATTTCATGGTAATTGGACTTCTGCGGTGGAGAATAGGTTCACAGTTTGCTGCAGCCTGCAGTCAAGCAGTAACAGATGCGACCAGTACTTCAGGGTCCTGCCAAATGGTTTGCTGGTTAATGGTGCCCCCTCCCTCCCTTTAAAGCAGTCATCTTTTAGCACCATCTGTTATCTCATTGATGCAAACATGCATTTGGGCTATTGCTTCTTGTCTTAGCTGCTCTCAGATCTCTCCCGAATGATAGGCATTTCTTCATAAATCAACTTACATTTGGATTTGACTATAGTGTTGCTCTCTATGCACTTTGGTGTGTGCACTAAAGTCTTGGATTGATCCCTTTACCTTGTATTGATATTTGTAATCTTGGCCATTGGTATGAACTGTCATTTACTTTCTTGATGTTGTAGAATCTGACCCAGCTTTGGGGCATAAGCTATTTAACTCAGGTTGGAGTGATCTGAAGGATATCTGATGGTTCCTTACAGTATGAAAATGGTTATAACGGACAATGAGTTTTCGCTCAGGATTGATGCTTTTTAGTCATTGAGAAGGAAAGAAGATAACGGAGGTGGGAAAATGGTTCTTTTTTTTCCTTTTTTTTTTTCTGGTAGTTCTATTTTTTCCAAAAATTTTTGGGCGTGGGGCTAGTGGTGTCATTTGATTTTCTATTGCATAATTTGTTGGGAGAGGTTGTTTTTAGAATCAAGGATGATATTACTTGAACAAGTTGTGTAGATGGATAGCTTGAAGCTAAGTTGAGTTACCTCTTGATTTATTTTTAACATTATCCTTTTCGGCTAATTTTGTGATCTTTTTGATATCTTTGGTCAAACTTTAAAAAACTGATACCTTCATATCAATTAATTTAGTACTATAGTGATTTTGGTCATGTTATATGTTTATTCTAGTTTGATTCATGTGGAAATTGCATGTTCCTATTTATTGAAGGTTAATTATACATAATCGAATTACACATGAATCAAAATTGGAATAAACCTATAACACGGGGAGTAAAATCACAAACGTAACTTATGCCTCGCCAGAAATAGGGAGGGGAATACCACGAAAACTCTGATCCAGGATCAGAATGATGAGATTAAAGAAGTAGAAGGAATGCTGTTCCGGAATAGGGATTGCAATAACGCCAAAAAGGTTATTGATTTGAGCAAAAACCACAACACCAAAGGCGAAAGTAACGCCGGTTGACAAATTGCAGAGACAAAGAGCACATCGACCCAACATAGGAGATTTGGCCAGCGCTCCCTTTCGTGCTGAGGGAAGTAAAAGCCTAGCAAGTAGTGGAATTACTCCTGTAACCATACGGAGCACGATAAATAGGGACAATTGAATGAAACAGGAACAACGAATGGTGGCACACAAATGAAATTGCAATTGGAGCAAAGGCAACTACAAGCTAAGTAGGGGGGGACAAAGAGGAAAGGAATGAGCTAATGTGTTTGAAGGGAACAAAATGGCAGGTAAAGGTATGAATCTCAATTTTATTGAGGGCATGAAATAGTGGAATTAGAGCATGAAGATGTAGCTACTGTAAATGATAGGTGGAAATTAGCTATCATCCTTATACGTGGTAGGGCGAACTCCAACCATTGGAACAATAGAAAGATTCATAGCTGCACATGGGTATGTTTCGATCTAGTCACAGGCCTATCTCTATAGTGATGGCTATTTCGTGATTAGATTCAGCTTCGATGAGGATATGGACGTGATTATGTGTTTGGGGCCTCATAATTTGAACAACATACCAGTTATGATTAAACCATGGACTTCGAAATTCAATTTCAATGATGAAGTTTTGAAGACAGTGCCTCTATGGATTAAGCTACTTAACCTTTCTTTCAACTGTCGGACTGCAAATGCTCTAAGCAAAATAGGAAGCAGTTTGGGACAGCCAATCTATGTAGATGAATGTACTATTCAAAGTAGTAGGATATCATTTGCCAGGATTTTGGTGGAAGTTGACATAACCAGAGATCTCCCAGATAGTACTAAAAAGATCTACCTGGATGATTTTGGTGTACAAATGACTCAAATACAACTAGGGGAAGGATATCGGTGGCATGGAATCCTAATATAGTTCAAGTTAATGCCATAGAAATACACACACATTTCATATATGGTGACTACTCTAATTTCCCAAAAGGCTTACTTTAATTTTCTTATATTTGAACAAATGTCAATATTATAGGGAAAGGAGTGGGATTGACCGAGTGTTAATTGCTCTCCACTCCTTTTACATCCTCCACTTTGCAAATTATGCCCCTATATGTTTGAAGTTGCAAATACGATTTTCAAAAGTTTTTCTATCTAACAAAATACAACCATATTAAAATAGAATTGTACCACAACAATCAGTTCAAAGTAGCTTGCTAGTACATTTTTTTCTTTTTCGGAAAAGTTTCAAGTAAGCGATAGCTTTCTTTCAAGCATGCTTATTTCTCCTACCATGTAAGGGGGGATGATGTTGCAAATATATCATGCCCCAATTAAAGTAATATTTTGCCCTTTCAATGAACTTAACACGAAACCAAACTACATAATGGAAATCTTAAACATTGCTTTCAACACAAGCTTGTGTCTAAAATTTCTTTGAAAATTCTAAGGTAATTTGCAACAGTTAATACAACCATGTTGATAAATAGCATGTAGCCATCTTCTTATTTTCCAAAACTAGATATACGACTTCAACCATAAACCTTGAGGTCCAGATTTCAAATTCCATGGCTTTCGCCCTTAAGGGCTAAGCTTGCTTAATGTTATTCAAACAAACAGAAAAGAGCTCAGCAATTACAAACATAAATCTTGTGACTTCTTCTATGCTGCTGCAGGTTTCTGAATGAGAAAGGCCATGCACTGAACCTGTTTAACATTGTCAAATGCCAAACAACGAATGAAAGCATTTGGGTACGCTTTCTTGCATTCTTGGATTTCATTGAGAACTTGGGATGAGTCATTGCAGCCAAACATGGGCAGCTTCCACAGTGTCCAATACCTTCCATCATAGTAGCCTGGCATGCTGCTATTTTCCCTGCGTACATATCCCACCTGCCGCATATCACAAAGCAAACATTAGTGAGTCCTCAGATAATGTATGAGTTTGACTAATTTATGCTGATAATGTAAAAGGTCACCTAAAAGGTAAACTCTATATATATAGCAATTCATAATTGGTTGAGGTCCCAGGGGCCTCGGGTGGATTTCAAATTGCTAACGGATTGAAAATTGGACTTAGATGATAGCTCGTGTTGCAGGTCTGGTTTCCTTATACGTAATCACGGTCTCATTTTGGGCCGCTGCTATGCGGTTGCGTGGGAAGGCCCACGATCGCGAAGCTGTTGGCCATCAGTGCATTGCGAACGCGTGGGTTAAGCCGCGTTCGTGTAGAGGAAAGGAGGGAGCTAGAGATTTCACGCGCTATTCTACGTGATCACATGGGGTTATCCGTGATCGCGTAGGTCTGAGGAGGTTGTGCTTAACGTTCGCATAAGGTTAATTCTTGCCAGTTAATTTTGTTCTTCGCGATCACGTAGGGTAAATGACTGGGCAAAAGAACTTAAGTTCTAAAAATGAATTTGGGCATTTTGAGTTCGGTGAGAGGCAATTTTTCGAGTTGTTTTCAAGGAAAATATTGGGGTAAGAATTCCTAACTCAATTTTGATTAAATTACCCGAATCCATTGTTGTTTTTAGCATTTAATTGTTGTTTTAAGTTGGAAAAGTTGTGAAAATCCTTTTGGTTAAATTTGAGAATTTGAGGGTCGAGTTGTAGTTGGCATTTACTACTTTTGGTATGGTTGGACTCGTCGTTGAATGAGGGTTCAGATTTCGTAACTTTTGTAAATTTCGAGATGTGAGCCCCACGTTGACTTTTTATTTCTTGCAAATATCATAAATTTTATTGTTCGAATTAGTTTCCTATGGTTATAATTATAGTATGAAATTATTTTGGCTAGACTCGAGTCGTTCGGGATTGGATAATCAAGGAAAAGGCCTACTAGTGGAGTGAGTTGGCGCCAATTGAGGTAAGTGGCTTGTCTAACCTTATGTAGGGGAATTACCCTTTAGGAATTATGTTGATTGTGCTAAGTGAAAGCCGTATACGCAAGGTGACAAGTGTGTACACATGCTAAATGTGAAAATTTCCTATTTTAGCTATGTAGATTCTTTTCATGTTGTAGCTGAGTTACCTTAAAATGTTATGGTCATCATTTCTAGTCTATTCTCACATGTCTACTTGTCTTATCCCTTTTACATGCTAATTTCCCTACATGCTTAATTGAAGTTCATGTTTCCTTTATTCTACGTTCATTATTTAATTGTTGAATTCTTTACTTGAAATTGCTATTCTGAGAATATTTTGTTGTTGAAAATGGCAATGAATTTATAAGGGTCGTGATTTTCATTGAGGCAAAGTGTTAAATTGTGAAATACTATTCTGTTGAGTTATTCACTTTTAGTTGTTTTGTTGAAACTTTGTGTACATTTCTGTCTGAGCCGTGTGCTCTTTATTGTGAAAAAAATATAGTATTGTTGATTTCTTTGGCAAGTTGTGATATTTGGGCACTTGAGGTGCCATTTGTAATATGTTATGATATTGATACGCATGCGGTGGTATAAGGTTTGAGTGTTGAAATACATGCGGTGATATAAGGTGGGCTTGATACGCGTGCTAGTAGGGGAACTATTAGAAGTCATGCGATGTGATAAAGTGGGCTAAAATATTGGATGCTATTTCGGAAAAAGTGATTCTTAAAACTAAATGTGAAGGCTCGCAGTGATATAAGGAAAGATTGTAAATTTATTTGTGATTTGGGACTACGAGACGGTACATCGGGAATGACCCTTGTTGATATTTCTCTATTGGTGTACTTGTCTTTGGTTGTTTTGTAATCCTTAACATGTAAATTCTTGTTTTCTTCTGTGGTGTATTATTTGCCGTTATTCTGTGTAGCTAAATTGTGGCATACTTGTTTCATCTCCATTATTATTATTATTATTATTATATTGTTAAATTTTTCGTCCTATTTCTTATTATATTCAGTAGGGTCTTGGCCTGACCTCGTACTACTCTACCGAGGTTAGGCTTGGTACTTACTGGGTACTGCTGTGGTGTACTCATGCTACGCTTCTACATATCTTTTTGTGCAGATCCAGGTACTTCCTACCAGACCAGACATCATTGAGCTGAGTCCTTACGCGGAGACTTCAAGGTATACTTGCCGGCGTCCGCAAGCCTCGGAGTACCCCTTCTACCTAAATTATTTTAGTTCCTTATCCACTAATAGACTCTAGTTTATAGAGATCACCAACATTATTTCATAGAGCTTGTGACTTGTACTTCACCGGGTTTTGGGCAATCGTGTATAAACCAGTTGTTGAATTTTAAGATTTTAAATTATTATTTCAGTTATTTACGCATGTTGTTAGACTTACCTAGTCTTAGAGATTATGTGCCGTCATGATATCCTACGGAGGGAGANCGATGCCCACCCTCCAACCCCCTACCCTTTGCAAAATTATTTTTGTTTATGTTTGCAGTTATTATTTTTTTCATTTTTCAGTTTAAATGTTCAAAATTTTACGAGTTTCAAAGTTATGAGTTCGGAGGTTTATGTGTTTGGAAGTTTGCAGTTTTAGAAATTATAGAGTTTACGGGTTTAAAAGTTTAGCGGTTCGGAAGTTTATGCAATTTTTGGGTTCGGAAGGTTGTTGGTTCAGAAGTTTATGGCTTCATGTTTATTATATCTAAATTATTTATGAATACT